GTCGGTATTTCACGTCTACCGCATACATTAACAAAGTGAGCAGTTAAAAACTGCTTGCATAATAAGCACAAACGAGAAAAATATAACATCTACACTTTTGAATTTCAGAATAATTTGATCTACATTTATTAAACTACCGAACAATAATGCAACAATTTAACCATGCTCTAGAACAGAAAATAATTTTAAATCTTGATTGACTTTGTCGATATTTCATTAAAGATAACAGCTACTGAAACGTGTACATTCAACGGGTGATTGACATATATAATTCTTCAGCACGCGCATCGTTAGCTGACATACAGTTATTACCTTACATTATTACTCAAATAAAAAAATGTTAATAGTGATACGCACTTTCATAAAAAGAAATCAGGGTTGCTGATAATGTCGCTGACACGGCAATTTATACGGATAGAGACACGAAACTATTATACTGGGTGATGTTGCGTTTCAGAATATCCGCGCAGGGACCTAAAACTCGTTCGAATCTTGCTCTGTCGAGTTTCACGCATTTTAGAGGACCTCGCGCCACGACAGTTGCCGCTCTTGGCCTGTCTAATAATAATGCAATCTCACCTACAATCAGTTTAATATTATTAGTCATGAAACATTTAATATTAAATAAAGATATTAAAGAAGAAAAATACAAAAAAAAAAAACATACCAAAATAATCAGATGGTCCTAAACGACCAACTTCAGCTGGTTCTTCACCCTCCGAACGTTGTTGCAGAACAACTGCTGTGCCCTCAACAATTATGTAGAAGTCCTCACCTGGCTCACCCTGTCGAACTATCGTCTCACCATCATCAAATGCAACCGGTTCTAAAGCGTCGGCTACCGTAAGCCGTTCCCACTTATCCAAAGATTCTAAAAATACCAAGAATTCTGAATAACATATTCTCCACGATTCTGGCACGTTTTCATGGAACGCAAATCACCGCTTACCCAAAATTGAAACTCTGGAAAGGAATTCCTCGTACATCTTTCGTTTTCTTATGGTAGAGCCCATTAAGATTCTTCGATACGAATCTCTGTCGATGCCCCATAATTTCACGTCGGTCTTTGCTCGAACGGTTGCCGCACGAGGTGTGCCGTAAATCAACGCAAGCTCACCGAAACTTCCACCTTCTCCTATCGTCGTAGCTAGTTCGCCATTCACGAAGATCTCGACCTCCCCTTGATCGATTACGTAGAAGTTATCACCTTCGTCGCCTTTTAACATACAAAGAAAAACTTTTAATCTAATTTCATTTCATTTAATAATATCATTCTACTTCCATACGCGTATTTACCTTGCCGAATAATTGCCTCTCCGGGCAAGAATGTGACAGGAAACATGGCGTCGAAAATGTCAGAACGTTCGTTCTCATCGAGATGAGCGAATAGAACATTCTTCGCGATGGCCTTACTCAAGGCAGCCATCGTCTTGTAATCCTTAGGTACGACTTTTTTAACGTAGCTCGTGGCATCCTCTTCGGAGACCGGCTCCGCGGATATGCCTCCTCTGCGTCTAGGAACCTGAGGACCCTGTTGTCCGGCAGGTATATCCTCGGTGTCCTCAGGACTGGTCGCAATTTGTTGCTTGGCATCGTGAGCTTGCTCCTGAAATCGAAAATTGATTAGTATCGCATGATGTCTAACGGACTTTTATTACGTTCGATAAACGTTACGCAACGTATGAGCGTCTGGGCTTTTGCTAACGTAAAGTAGGTTACCGGAGAAACCATCTTTCGACGCTTGAGATTCTCGAAACTTGATCCACGCGGGGGTGGGGACGGGGAAGGTAAGAGACGAAAACAAAGGGCAAAATAAAAGTCACGTAACCTTGTACGATATTTTTCGAACGAAATTGTTTGTTTGGATTATGGCGTGAATATATCTTCAAGACTATCGATAATATCGAAAAACATTTCAGACAAAAGTTACATGGCTTTGAGGGAGACATAATCTTGTGAAACATTTTTCAGTACCATTGATAATTTTGAAGATATTCACGTGATGATCGATTTAAATGGAACACGCTGCAGGTAATTGTAATTATAATGGTATTGATTATGGAATTTTTAACGTGATCGCATATTTTACTCTACTTGCCTGTTGCACCATATCGGAAGCTGATGTTCTCCTAGGCGTTTCACGATTACTACCTCCGATCCTATAGGCAATCGATCGACGCTTTTTTTTTTTAAATGAAGCTTTTCGATTTTTTTTTTCTTTTTTAATCTGTTTACTCAAAACCGAACGACACAAGCGTGGAAGAGTCACGTAAGAAAAACAAGCCGCCTTTATAAGTCAATTTTGCTTAGACATGCGCAACACACAACAGTGCGCCCTTCCTTTAATGAAATCATGTGCTCCCCTAAATTTCCTAGATGAAAACACAAGCAATATGTACGGAGTGGGTCACAGAAAATGTTATACAAAGCTATTTTTTCCATGGAAACTTCTCGATACGCCAACGAGCCCTTTATGCGACAAATAATAAACAATTTAGGTTATTTTTACTTATTTTCATTGTTTTCAAAGGTAAACAACGCCAACTCTACCGATTCATCGATCAAAAAGTTACCGTACCTAACGACGCTTAAGAAGTTACCCTTTCAAACAGAAAAAGCGATGGAGTATGTTGCACAGATAAAGAAGAAAATGCTTTATTCAATATTTCAGAGTAAATTTCGTGAATAGTAAAGAGGGGGGTGATGAAAATTGACCCTTAATTGAACGCTCGTGTAAGCATAGCCCCTTGTCCTTCGGAACTTGGCTGCTTATTGTAAAATTATATAAGCCTTTGGATAAAATATTACACGGCCTGTGAACAATTATCATCGATGAAAAGGTGGGCAAATAATGCCATAGGTCACTTGGCGTTTTCACGGATGAACGCGCCCTCGTAGATGACCAACACTACGTAAAAACATTGAACTGATCATGAATATCATAGGATTCTGTACACCTATCCATTTTATCCAATTAATTCCGTTACTGTGTATTTCATTGAAATTTAACGGCAACTGAGAACAATTGTGATTGAAACTTTTTTGTTGGATCATAATAGGTAGAAAAGTTAATATAATGAAGGATTCCGTATATAATTAACGACATAATTATTTCGATTAGATTGTTGATTATCATCGTCACAGATGATTGGTCAAAAAATTGCACACAATTTATACCCTGAGACAATATGTGTTAATAAGCTTGTCGACGTTCATTATTCAATGCCACTTATGATGTCTGCACATTTATTTATTTTACTATATTAAAAATTAACTAGTAAAAAAAATGCAATTAAAACGAAAATGCTCATTCATCTATACAAAGTGTATTACGAATTACTATGGCAAGGCAATGCACGCAATGTACATACGAAATACTTAAAATAACTCTACCTTATGAGTGCACGAATCACATTAACAATAGTATCGTATTAAAAGAACAGTAGAACAGTGTCAAGATTAGTCGGTCAGTGATCTTAGCACGTGTTAAAATGACATTCGTTAAACACACATCACATTAATTTTACTACACATTAAAAAAATTCACAAATATATCCCTTGACTTATTCACGATATTATTATATTATAGCCAACAAACTTAAAAAAGGACTAGTAAAATTCTATCACGCATCACTCGATTTATTTTCCTACGATAATCGCATAGAAACTAAATAGAAGATTAATTGTTTCCATCATGTACAGTGACGTTTTACAATGATCATCGAAGCAAAGCAGTTCAACTGTGTTAAATATCGAAGCATAAACCGTAGATCATTTCTTGTTCGACAGATAACGCGTTCAAGGATCGAGAAGCTCTACGCAGGAATATTAGAACGCGTAAAATGCATATCCAACTCGTGTAATATCCGCTATATTCACGATCGTACCTCGTCCATTATTTGTCGGTAATTACTCTTTCTCACAAATTAGTATTTTCCACCCGACCGCGCGTGTATTTCTTCAACACTCGTCTTACACACCAGATTATCAGAATCGCGAAACCAAAAAAAAAAAAAAAAACGTTCCTCTAGGTGGCCAGCGAGCGAAAGTAACGCGCGAACCGTAATGTAGATCGTTCCTGATCGCGCTACACACGTCGACCGCGCGCCGCTTCGAAATTTTCTAAGGCCTCGCCAAATTCGATTAATGCGACACGATCCTTCCGTGGCCGTTCGTGAAGATGGCACCAAGTGGCAGACGGTAAATTCTATCACGAGATTTTTCGTTGAGACGCAATCAGATCGATAGGTAACTCAATATTGACAGACCAAAACCGAACGGATAACAACGTGCTTCCGGCGTCGCCCGTTTAAAACGCATTGTCGTAGCGCGGTCGCGCATTTTCGAGGACGACGTGTTAACACGGCTTTCATCGTCGTCGTCCGTTGTTGGCTAAGGTTGCGCGCCTCGTTATATTTCGAGCATACGCTATATTTAGAGCAGCTCCTGTATCCGCGCATACCGACTGCCTTTCTATGTATCTCTGTGTGTGCGTGTATGTAGTAGCGGTAGCAATGGAAACTCGATGATGTTGCGCCTGATTTCATACGATTCTCGACCGTGGTTTGTTTGACCGCGCGGCTCAATGAGAGATGGAAAATACTATTGATCATTTCACACGATATAGCTCTGCATACGATATAGATATAAGAAGAAAGGGCAACGCGGCTAAATATCTCCCCCGTTGTTGTTTGCGGAGATACGAAAATCTTAATGTCAAGGATAATGCTGTATAACTAGGAATAAGAAAAAATATGTCGTTCGATAGGTCCGTGTCAAGGATATATTTTTCAACTGTAGTCAGAATAAAATATAAAACGTCTGTTAGTTACATAAATGTCAGAAAGTAAAAGTACAAAAATTTGATAACAATAATGATTGAATTAGAATTTTTATAAGTAGCAATATTGAGCGCTATCCCCACCACTATTCAGCATCCCCCACTTAAAAAAGTTTGGGGAATGGACGCGTGCAAATAAACATATTTGGCGCCAAGCGTTTAAGACTATACATATAAAGTAAATATTTAAACGATATATGTAATAACATTTTCATTGTAAATCACAAAGTTAAGTTTCGTATTGCATTCGTTTTGAGATCACATTTTGTCATATTTTAAGTTTTATTTTAAGTTGTCGACGACGTAAAATTTTCAAACGATTGTTTATTCAGTTAAAAATACTTCGGAGTCTGGAATATTTGTTACAATGTTAAAAATTATTCGCGTTTCAATGGTATTAAAAGAACAAATGACTAGTTTAACCTTTGCTGATAAACATGATTGGAAAAAATGTATTATTTAAAAAATACTAAAAGTAGAGGTAGAAAATTCAGAAAATTTAATATAATGTACTTTACTCAAGTCCCAATTCTTATGCTTTATGCATACTTTTTCTTTATAAAATAAAACCTACATAAAAATTTCATTCACTTTGATTTCTAAAATATTACATATTTATTAATGTTTTAAACATGTATTATTGAGTTACATATGATGATGTTTCATGACATTCTAAGTCTACCTTGAATACAGAATTCATACAATACAAATTAAAGCATATTGAGTTGTACTGTATGCGTAGTAGTATGTTAATACAACTAAAGATATTGCAAATCATTTCTGTTTAGGCAAATATTACTTAACACAAGTAACATTATTTTACTGAAATTATGTGACCAATAATGATTAGTTCTATATAGATATTAATAATTATTAATCTTTTGACAGGTCTCTAATGTATGCATCTCATGTATCCAATACTTTAATTAATATACCTTCTTTATCCTGATTGTATTGATGTAATATAAATACTTATCTTTGCAATAAAAAGAAATATGTGATAAAAAACTTAAATTCTTCCATGGTTTGTAGTGAACAATTAAACGAATAGAGAATAGCAAATCTAAGGTTATTTTAATGAGATATTGTTCAATACATACCCGTTCCAGTTTCTGAAAGTATTCTCTCAAAAAAGATATGGGATTTTCTGGACGCCCCACGCACAGCTGCACTATACAATCTTTTAAAACTTGTTGAACATTATGTCTCTGTACGTATTCCTCGCACTCTCTTAAACTTTGCTCTTCCTCGAGATTCGCCGCCATATTGATACACAAGTTGACACTTTATAGCGAATACCTTTTCAACAATTTTGTTCGTTGCTTAAATATTGCGAATATATTATTTTCTGTTGACAGCACAATTTTTTTATGTTGACAATATCGACACATTTCACTCGATATGCGTCGCTCATTGTTCGTTATAGAGTACGTACTTGACAGTCGTGCTTTTCGGAGCTGTAATTCAATAAAGTATGACACCGCCGATATCACATGTATATTCGAAAAATAAAACCAAATTTTCTATCGTTCCTTTATTATTTAAATGCGACATGCATTTGATATAAAAAAAAATATTTTAAATTAAACAAATAAATCAATTTTTTGCCAAAATTTGAAAATAATGACACAATGAATACTTATGAAAAAAATTGTCTTGAAATCAATATTTTTCAATTAACAATTCATTATATAATTAAATGTGATTACTATTTTTATTTCATAATTCTATTTCATAATTACTTGTTGGTCTTACTATGGAAAAGTGGTAGGTATTTAAAAAATATTGCAGCTTTACTGTTTTAACTTCTAACAATAATATATTTTAAAACATATTGTCAATGGGTGGATAGACATTATAACACATAAACTATATTTTAAAATATAAGATAAGAATGTTTTTCACTTTTTTTGTTTCTCTTAATCTGTATTTCTGTAATCCCATGTCAACCTGATGTCATTATGAAACAATTTTCTCTGGCATTTAATGAAAATTAGAGAGAAATGGGATTTCAGAATTAACAGTTTTGAACTTAAGTCTTATCCTTTAGAAAATGTATGGCCATGTTTTCCTATGTACATTAATATTTGTATGTAACACAGAATGAATTAAAATATTTATACAAATGTCAATACATTGTAGAATCCACTAAAATATTGTAATATTGTGCAGCCTCATTAAATGCAACAAAATACTTTATGGTAAAAACATTACAATAAATTACAATTAAACCATTACAATAATACAAGTCTTATATTATTTCAAATTTGAAATCATCATAATATCACATATACATAATATCTTGAACAAAAATTACTTTTCATATTCTTAAAAAATTGTAAATTCTCACGTGAATTCTCCAATGATTGCATTTTAGAAAGTAGTCTTCAAAACAATGATTAATGACAAATAAATACGTTTAACATTATACTCAACTTTTGCAGTTCAATTTCATGTCTTTTTACTTATTTTACCTATATAATCTAATTGTGCAGTTTTTTTCTTTTAGAATAATCTAAATTTAACTATAGAATACATGCGATGTATGTGTATAATAAAAAACAGCAATGTCATAGAATATTGCAACATATCTTTGCATTTAATAAGTACAATGTCTAATTACAATTGCTTTAGGGATGCATTGATTGATGTTGGATTCATTTTTATGTCTTTAGACATTACACTTTAATTAATTGCGAATCTAACAAGTGATTGCCTACAGATAATACTTCCCTGTATTTACTCTTGTGTAACTATTTTGGCCCTTGCTAACAACGTTAAAATTTATAAAAACTCACCGCAATGCTTCTGTAATTAAATTCAGTAGTGAGTTTTACTTAATCTCTAACTGTATTATTGTTCAATATTATGTGTATGTGGTCGTTTTTTAAATAAAGAAGATAACAAATACATTGTTTTACATCAAATACTATAAAATACTGGGATACAATCAAGTGATGTTTTTTTTTCTAGAGTGCCTTTCAGTGATAAACCATTGTAGTATTTAAAGTTTTGACCATGGTAACACTTTGATACTTTAGACTTCAAAAATAAAATAGGCAAAAACTAATTATACTATGAGTTAAAAACAAATTTTGCTTTTATAACTGCTATTGTATTATATATATTTATATAGGCACTTTCTACAAGTAACTGGAGACCTTTAAAATGAGCAATGAAAATTAAATTTTCAACAATCTCCTTATCACTAAAATCCATTTCTATATAAGTGCTAAAAATATGTCTTTTTTATGATAAATCACGAACTAAGAGATATTGAACAACTAATTGATGAATAGAATATATTTATGTATGTAATTGTAAGCACACACAGTTTTATTACTCTTTGAGACGGTTATGATAAAATTCTTGTAATATCCTAACAATAAAAATTGTGTATCATGATTAATACAAAGTGCAGTTTGCGATCTAAACAGCATTTCTTTTATTTTTTTTTTCATTCATTATACATTTAGGTATTGCTCTAAATAGAATTGTAAATTGATAGATTAATTGCACAGAATGTGATATTTGTTCCAAAAGTTACTTTAATGTACTTAGTAACATTACAACTTTTAAACATGATAGAGGAGAATGGAACCTCACGATGTAATAAAAAATTTTTATACAGTAGAATTTTTCAGAAATAAAATTCACACTTTTGAAGCAATTTTTAGATTCATATTGTACATATAAATTAAAATTCTTTTAAAACGCACTGCTAAAATTTAAGAAGAGATAATTAACAATTCAATTATTTATAAAGCTCGTTCAATAACAAGCTTCAATAATTGATATATTTACCCCTGTAATCTATCCCTCATTGTTTATATATTTGTAAACAAAGTTTTTTAATAGATGGCCACCATGGTCTACTGTAACTACTTATTGCTATTAGATTATTACACCATGATTTTATTTCGCTCAATTAATACTGATTTAAAATTAATATCAGGCTAATATAATCTCGTATGTCTTGTATTTAACATAAAATGAAATTTTCTAGTATAACGTGTATTTGTTGGCATTAGATGCGTAAAACTTGCTGTTCTAAAGAACTATACAACTTCGATGCGTTTTTTTAACTTATTAATTACACCTTGTTCATGGTTTTTAAGGCACCAGATATACGTGAAAGGTAACTGAACACGTGAACGTGCAACTTATTGCTCAAAGAAAGTTGCCTTATCGTTGGAACTTAAAAATCATGAACGAGCGCGAGTTTTCTTTTTTTAATTTCTGACTTAAAATTTCTTTTTTTCGTAATAAATGCAAACATGATTTTCATATAAAAAGAAATATCATATATAAAACATTATGCTTTTAGAAGTAAAGCAATAATATTTATATTTTATAATGGACTTAAAATATCGCGATAAAATATAAATTTCGTAAAAATTTGTAATTCATTGAGTATAAAAAAATAAATAGCAGTGCTTAATTAATAGCAAGGTACTCAATAACATGTATAAATAAAATAACATCTAGCAATCCATATTATTAACTTCAAAAATTCACCAATGTTCGGTAAAAACAAAATTGGAAGCATTAAAGTAAATATATTTATATAATTTTCCAAAACTGATAAAGATCTTTCTCAAAAATTGACTAGTATTCGACATGTCTTTGTTCTAATTCATTAATCATAATATTTCTGTACGTTTATGCAAGTATATGAATGTTAAACAGTGATCCACTTTCTGATTTATTTGGCAATAATACTTACTTCAGTTTTATGGAGTTGTAGATGTTAAAAACGTTGGATCAACTGCAGCAACCTTTGCAGTTAAAAATGCATGCATACAGAACAACAAATTCTGCAATTGAGAACATTCCAATTCCTACGACAGAGAAGAATATAATAAGAAACGCGTTAAATAACATTTATGTGTTATCTTTTCTATTGAAAAGCAAAATACCTTCGTCTCAATAGCAATACTATCTGATTCTTGAAAATGTAATTTCAGTCTGCTCTTTCCGTCGTCGCTAGACCCCCTCAATTGTGAAAATTTATAGCGCCATACAATCTCTCCAATATCCTCAGAAGAAAGTGTGAAACCTTGAGTCCATTCCAACGTTAATCCTGCACTTCTTCCATTGAAAGTAACAGGAAATGTTTTACTCTGTAAAAGAACGCGTATAATGATATACATTTAAATAATAATTTTTAACATAACAAATAAAAATTTGTTACAAACTTTTAAATGCGTAACAGCTGAACAGACTGCAGTATGCCATGCTGCTTCAACTCTCAAGAGTTCTTGTCTAGTTTCCACACTTAAATATCGCGGAGGTTTACCCGGACTTTGCGCTAAAAAGCAGTGCTGCCTTTCGTCAACATTTTCAGATTCTCGCATCACACGAAACATTGTTTGATATACTTTAAAAGTTAATGCACATCGTGACCAATCTCCTATATTGCACTGCAAATAAATTACGACCTCTAATTGCATAATGTATGTTGAAGTTTATTACATATATATTATTGATAAACACTCACAGGAGGCGTCTCAAATAACAATAAATCAGGTCCTTTTAGAGCTAAAAACCTTGGTCTATAACTTTGCCATGGCTGATTACTATTGCTTACTGCTTCATTGACCCACCCCATGTACTCTATACGTTCACCGACCCCGAAATTGCGGTTATATAATTTCATCTAAAAATCGATTACACGAACTATGGGTGATTACATAATTACTCTAGGTAAATTAATTCCAATTTGTTACTTACATAACTAATCAATCAATTGGAAAAAATGTGTTTCTCACCTGTAAATGTGTTAAACCTGTAATATTATCAGTTATATATTTTAACCATTGACTCAAAATGGCACTATCATCACAGTGTATTACACCAGTTCGTGCACCATTTAATCCCCTTACTTCAAACGCATTTCTTCTTAATTTATCAGTTCCAAAGATGTATCTTGTTACATAAGCCATCATTAATGGAACTGAAATTATAAAATATTATCTTATACATTTATTGTTTTCATTAAACGAAAGAACAAGTAAAATAATTAAAATATTGTTCTAACCTGTTATAACATCCACCCACTTTTTAGATTGCATTGAAGTGGCAGATGCATTTGAGCTTTGTCTACTATGACCACATCTAGGACTTCCACCTTGTCTATTAGATGATAACCATTCATCTTCTGAACCCCCATTTGCAACATTATCTAATTTCTCTTCTTTTTCTGAAAATAGTGTTGAATAAATATTATAAGTAAATGTTACATATACAGGGTGTTCCGTGTAACGCGATGCACAATTTCTCAGCCATTTGCGGCCATGTGACAAAAAGGTTTTCAATAAAAATTTATCGGTATCGAGTGTACAACAAATGCTGATAATAAAAATTTCGAAAATAGTTTGTTCTCATAGCGAAATCAAGGTCACCTTGGTTTCTTCAAATAGGACCAGATATTGTTTTTCTCATCATATTGTAGGAGACATTAGGACGAATTCATCATATTTTTACTGTTATATTTACAGTAGTGGAAATAGGAGTATGTATTTAACTTTTCGTCGCATTCTACTTTTGAGCAGTGTAAACTGTATGCTGTAAAACAGCTTAAAACAGTGACCCTATTTAAAAAACCCAAGGTGACCTTGGTTTCGCTATAAGAATAAACTATTTTCGAAATTTTGATTATCAGCATTTGTTGTACATTCGATACCGATAAAGCTTTGTTGAAAACTTTTTTTGTTACATAGTCGTGGATAGTTGAAAAATCGTACGTCGCGTTACATGGAACACCCTGTATATCTATTTACATATATATATGAACAAAATTATACTTACCATTTTTTTGTAGAAATGGCTTTGCCGCACGATAATGTTTCACTGTTAAAACAACTATATCACCAGCATTTCTTAAAATGTTGACAGCATCATCATGATTACATGCAGTTATATATTCTCCATTTACTGTAAAAAAATAATATATGTTTCTAGAATCATTATCCTAACTGACACAATTTTCATTGTTAGCTTGATGTAGGTTTCACTTTGTAATGGTATAGGTGAATAGGTGTCATGGAAACATTATTTCAGAGGAAGAAACCAATATTGACAGCTCTGACACAAATAGGATAAGTATTCAAGAGTGTATATACACAGAAATAATAAGTTTCATTGCTAAGATATCTTTTGTTGAAACATCAGATATGTCACCTTATTATTCTCAGAAATAATAAAAAATTGAAGAATACCATTGTTTACTAATTAATATTTGATGATTCATGCACTTACCTTTAATAATTGCATCTCCTACAAATAACTGCCCACACTGATCAGCTGCTTGGCCCTTATAAATTCTAGATATAAGTACAGGAAGTTTATGCTCTGCTCCTCCTTTTATACTTAATCCCAATCCTCCTACTTTTTGTCTGGTAATTTGTACCATTCTTTCTTTAGCATCTAATGGTGGTTTGTTATGATTCGCTGCCTGCTGGAAATCAGTATCATTTTTTTATGAATCATGTAAATAATAGTGTACATTAAAGGGCAATGACATTAAACTTTACCTCTAGATCTTCCCTTTGTAGTTTCAAAACTTCCATAGACAAATGTAAACGCATTGGTACTGGTTTGCTTTTCCCATCACTAACACTTACCATTCCTGTCCTCACCTTTTCAAAAATAATGAGAATTATGTTAATTTATTTATTTACCTTTGAAGAATACATTCAAAATTATACAATTGTCCATTATAAAAAATGTACACATTTTAATTACAATAAAAAATCAAAGTGAATCATTAGTGAATCAGAAAAATAAAGTACAAACTTCATTAGAATTACAAATACTCCTGTATATTGATTAATTAACTATATTGCTTCAATGCTTTTGTATACATGCACTCAATTATAAAGATATACTTAAACAGTTCATTCAACATTGATGATTCTTGTGTTCTTAATTACATAAGATCGATTTTTTATATATTCTAGAATTAAACAATCGTACAGATAAGTTAAAATACGATTCTATTGCAAAATAAAAAGACTTAGCAAAATTATATTTCTATTGTAACACAAAATTATTGACGCATGAATAATTTTTTTGAATTAGAATGCATAATTTTTTGACACTTATGTTTCTCATGTTTGTTTCGTCATTTTCACTCAAATTATTTCAGAAACTGCTAAAAGTTTAAGTATAGAATAAGAGCATTGCAGAATTTCCTTTCGCATTTGTAATATTTGGATTCCGAAAAATTGTAAGTGAATATTATATGATTTAAAAAGAATATAATGAACTACTTACCTTCAACTTCTGATCAATCTTCTCCTCGATCGGAGTAGTCATTTTCGTTGCGTTAATTCTCATTATTTAATATAATTATGCAGCTCGTACATGTAAGTCCCCGTATTGCCGAACACAAATCGTCGGGGTTGACGGAGTCTTGTAGATCGTCGTTATTACAAGTGGCATGTTAGTTTCTCACAAATTGTTTGACGCGACCACGGCAAGTACTCGAACGATAAGAAAGCGAGATCATATTCTTATTGTTTGTCAGAAAAAACTGCACTATCTTACTTGTGGAATATATACGTGTAATTTAAGACACACGATATTTTAGGACGGGACGCGTTTATTGAAAGATTCGAATCTCTAAACTGTACATCGTGACGTTTTGAAACGTTCGTGTGAAGCAAAAAGTCCGTAAACCGGGACGCAGAAAAATTGGAGTGGGCTAAAAGTAGCTAAAAGCCCGCGGCTGAGGCGCATCGATTTATATGGCACGGCGCGCATTGATGGTACCTCGTTTGTTTCCAATCGCGGGAAACACGAAATCTAAATGTTTTAACCACAGGAATATTAATTATACGCATACTACTTGTATTTATATTTTACATAATTTATGTAATTTTTCATAATTTATATAATATATAAGAAAGTATATTGTGCTAAATGTAATTAAAAAGTGAATAAAAGACATTTAAACATACTAGATACTGTTCTATTTTTAGCCATTTATTTACAGGCACATATTTTATCGTTTATTAGTCGCATATTTATACAATGGATTATAATACAACGTTCATTCCACTTTTAGGAACTTGAAATAAAATATGCATTATATATGCTGCATAGAAAATATAAAAAACTTCTAACCATGGTATTAAATACTTGTTCTATTAGCTTGTAATGCACAATTGTTCAATTGAAAATTACTTAAACGGTATAGATAACAATACAATTTTATGTTAAATATGATTGTTAATTATCATTTCATTTACAAATGCATGATTAAACAAA